TGAAAGCCAAAGAAAAAGAGGAGAAAAGCGGAGACAACCTTTGAAAGCGATGAAAATAATGCAAAGGCATGGTCTGGAAAGAAAAAGAACCAACCAAAAAGAAAAATCAGCAGTAGAAAGCAAAGCCAACCGAGCAGGAAACAAAAGCCAAAAGGAAAAGGAAAAGAGCCAAGTAAACCGGGGAGAAAAGGACAAACAAAGAGCAAAGGGGTGGACTGCAGATATATGGCAAAGCAAAAAATTCAAAGCAACACAGTGAGACAATATAAAAGCTAGCAAAACCTAAGGGTGGAACATGGAAAAAAAAAAACAAAACAAACAAAACAATCTAGAATGAAAGACAAGAAGCAAAATAAGGGTGGAACATGGAAAAAAAAAAAAAAACCAAACAAAACCAACTAGAATGAAAGACAAGAAGCAAAATAGAAAGTAGGACAAAGCAAAACAATGCCAGAAAACCAAGAGCCAAGGAACAGAATAAACAAGAAAAAGGAAAGCAAACCAAAAAAACCAAACAAACATCAAATTAACAATGGAGAGCAAAGCCAAAGGAGCAGTAGAGAAAGCAAAACCAAGTGAACAAAGGAAAGCAAACCAATGGGACCCAGTGGAACAGAATGAACAACAAAAAGGAAAGCAAACCAAAAAAACCAAACAAACATCAAATTAACAATGGAGAGCAAAGCCAAAGGAGCAGTAGAGAAAGCAAAACGAAGGGAACAAAGGAAAGCAAACCAATGGGACCCAGTGGAAAAAGAGACAATACACAGAAAGAAACAGAAACAACCAACAGAACAAAGAAATGGGATTCAATGAGACGGCAAAGCAAAGGTGACAAGAGCCTGCCGTGCAGCCAAAAGCTCACCATCCGTGCCTGGGAGGAGGAAAGGGTAGCTACTGGGCATGCTGCGACCTCCAGCAGAGATGCACTTCCTCAGCTGGCGCCCGTGGAGGAGTCCGCGGCTGCAAGCAGGACAAAACATCTCTCTGGAGGAAGGGAAAGCGCTTGCGGTCATGCCGAGGAGGAGGTCAGGGTAGCTACCGGGCATGGATGCTGCCAGGCACACGAGGAAAAGCCTCCAGTCCACAACAAGGACAGAGGCTAGGACAGCCAAGATGTAGGAATAAACAATCCAGAAGGCTAACATCAGGTAAGTAAAAGCAAGGTAAGTGGAAGAAGGAGGAATGTAATGAAAGCCAAAGAAAAAGAGGAGAAAAGCGGAGACAACCTTTGAAAGCGATGAAAATAATGCAAAGGCATGGTCTGGAAAGAAAAAGAACCAACCAAAAAGAAAAATCAGCAGTAGAAAGCAAAGCCAACCGAGCAGGAAACAAAAGCCAAAAGGAAAAGGAAAAGAGCCAAGTAAACCGGGGAGAAAAGGACAAACAAAGAGCAAAGGGGTGGACTGCAGATATATGGCAAAGCAAAAAATTCAAAGCAACACAGTGAGACAATATAAAAGCTAGCAAAACCTAAGGGTGGAACATGGAAAAAAAAAAACAAAACAAACAAAACAATCTAGAATGAAAGACAAGAAGCAAAATACAAAGTAGGACAAAGCAAAACAATGCCAGAAAACCAAGAGCCAAGGAACAGAATAAACAACAAAAAGGAAAGCAAACCAAAAAAACCAAACAAACATCAAATTAACAATGGAGAGCAAAGCCAAAGGAGCAGTAGAGAAAGCAAAACCAAGTGAACAAAGGAAAGCAAACCAATGGGACCCAGTGGAACAGAATGAACAAGAAAAAGGAAAGCAAACCAAAAAAACCAAACAAACATCAAATTAACAATGGAGAGCAAAGCCAATGGAGCAGTAGAGAAAGCAAAACCAAGTGAACAAAGGAAAGCAAACCAATGGGACCCAGTGGAACAGAATGAACAAGAAAAAGGAAAGCAAACCAAAAAAACCAAACAAACATCAAATTAACAATGGAGAGCAAAGCCAAAGGAGCAGTAGAGAAAGCAAAACCAAGTGAACAAAGGAAAGCAAACCAATGGGACCCAGTGGAACAGAATGAACAACAAAAAGGAAAGCAAACCAAAAAAACCAAACAAACATCAAATTAACAATGGAGAGCAAAGCCAAAGGAGCAGTAGAGAAAGCAAAACCAAGTGAACAAAGGAAAGCAAACCAATGGGACCCAGTGGAACAGAATGAACAAGAAAAAGGAAAGCAAACCAAAAAAACCAAACAAACATCAAATTAACAATGGAGAGCAAAGCCAAAGGAGCAGTAGAGAAAGCAAAACGAAGGGAACAAAGGAAAGCAAACCAATGGGACCCAGTGGAAAAAGAGACAATACACAGAAAGAAACAGAAACAACCAACAGAACAAAGAAATGGGATTCAATGAGACGGCAAAGCAAAGGTGACAAGAGCCTGCCGTGCAGCCAAAAGCTCACCATCCGTGCCTGGGAGGAGGAAAGGGTAGCTACTGGGCATGCTGCGACCTCCAGCAGAGATGCACTTCCTCAGCTGGCGCCCGTGGAGGAGTCCGCGGCTGCAAGCAGGACAAAACATCTCTCTGGAGGAAGGGAAAGCGCTTGCGGTCATGCCGAGGAGGAGGTCAGGGTAGCTACCGGGCATGGATGCTGCCAGGCACCCGAGGAAAAGCCTCCAGTCCACAACAAGGACAGAGGCTAGGACAGCCAGAATGTAGGAATAAACAATCCAGAAGGCTAACATCAGGTAAGTAAAAGCAAGGTAAGTGCAAGAAGGAGGAATGTAATGAAAGCCAAAGAAAAAGAGGAGAAAAGCGGAGACAACCTTTGAAAGCGATGAAAATAATGCAAAGGCATGGTCTGGAAAGAAAAAGAACCAACCAAAAAGAAAAATCAGCAGTAGAAAGCAAAGCCAACCGAGCAGGAAACAAAAGCCAAAAGGAAAAGGAAAAGAGCCAAGTAAACCGGGGAGAAAAGGACAAACAAAGAGCAAAGGGGTGGACTGCAGATATATGGCAAAGCAAAAAATTCAAAGCAACACAGTGAGACAATATAAAAGCTAGCAAAACCTAAGGGTGGAACATGGAAAAAAAAAAACAAAACAAACAAAACAATCTAGAATGAAAGACAAGAAGCAAAATAAGGGTGGAACATGGAAAAAAAAAAAAAAAAACCAAACAAAACCAACTAGAATGAAAGACAAGAAGCAAAATAGAAAGTAGGACAAAGCAAAACAATGCCAGAAAACCAAGAGCCAAGGAACAGAATAAACAACAAAAAGGAAAGCAAACCAAAAAAACCAAACAAACATCAAATTAACAATGGAGAGCAAAGCCAAAGGAGCAGTAGAGAAAGCAAAACGAAGGGAACAAAGGAAAGCAAACCAATGGGACCCAGTGGAAAAAGAGACAATACACAGAAAGAAACAGAAACAACCAACAGAACAAAGAAATGGGATTCAATGAGACGGCAAAGCAAAGGTGACAAGAGCCTGCGGTGCAGCCAAAAGCTCACCATCCGTGCCTGGGAGGAGGAAAGGGTAGCTACTGGGCATGCTGCGACCTCCAGCAGAGATGCACTTCCTCAGCTGGCGCCCGTGGAGGAGTCCGCGGCTGCAAGCAGGACAAAACATCTCTCTGGAGGAAGGGAAAGCGCTTGCGGTCATGCCGAGGAGGAGGTCAGGGTAGCTACCGGGCATGGATGCTGCCAGGCACACGAGGAAAAGCCTCCAGTCCACAACAAGGACAGAGGCTAGGACAGCCAAGATGTAGGAATAAACAATCCAGAAGGCTAACATCAGGTAAGTAAAAGCAAGGTAAGTGCAAGAAGGAGGAATGTAATGAAAGCCAAAGAAAAAGAGGAGAAAAGCGGAGACAACCTTTGAAAGCGATGAAAATAATGCAAAGGCATGGTGTGGAAAGAAAAAGAACCAACCAAAAAGAAAAATCAGCAGTAGAAAGCAAAGCCAACCGAGCAGGAAACAAAAGCCAAAAGGAAAAGGAAAAGAGCCAAGTAAACCGGGGAGAAAAGGACAAACAAAGAGCAAAGGGGTGGACTGCAGATATATGGCAAAGCAAAAAATTCAAAGCAACACAGTGAGACAATATAAAAGCTAGCAAAACCTAAGGGTGGAACATGGAAAAAAAAAAAAAAACCAAACAAAACCAACTAGAATGAAAGACAAGAAGCAAAATAGAAAGTAGGACAAAGCAAAACAATGCCAGAAAACCAAGAGCCAAGGAACAGAATAAACAAGAAAAAGGAAAGCAAACCAAAAAAACCAAACAAACATCAAATTAACAATGGAGAGCAAAGCCAAAGGAGCAGTAGAGAAAGCAAAACCAAGTGAACAAAGGAAAGCAAACCAATGGGACCCAGTGGAACAGAATGAACAAGAAAAAGGAAAGCAAACCAAAAAAACCAAACAAACATCAAATTAACAATGGAGAGCAAAGCCAATGGAGCAGTAGAGAAAGCAAAACCAAGTGAACAAAGGAAAGCAAACCAATGGGACCCAGTGGAACAGAATGAACAACAAAAAGGAAAGCAAACCAAAAAAACCAAACAAACATCAAATTAACAATGGAGAGCAAAGCCAAAGGAGCAGTAGAGAAAGCAAAACCAAGTGAACAAAGGAAAGCAAACCAATGGGACCCAGTGGAACAGAATGAACAACAAAAAGGAAAGCAAACCAAAAAAACCAAACAAACATCAAATTAACAATGGAGAGCAAAGCCAAAGGAGCAGTAGAGAAAGCAAAACCAAGTGAACAAAGGAAAGCAAACCAATGGGACCCAGTGGAACAGAATGAACAACAAAAAGGAAAGCAAACCAAAAAAACCAAACAAACATCAAATTAACAATGGAGAGCAAAGCCAAAGGAGCAGTAGAGAAAGCAAAACGAAGGGAACAAAGGAAAGCAAACCAATGGGACCCAGTGGAAAAAGAGACAATACACAGAAAGAAACAGAAACAACCAACAGAACAAAGAAATGGGATTCAATGAGACGGCAAAGCAAAGGTGACAAGAGCCTGCCGTGCAGCCAAAAGCTCACCATCCGTGCCTGGGAGGAGGAAAGGGTAGCTACTGGGCATGCTGCGACCTCCAGCAGAGATGCACTTCCTCAGCTGGCGCCCGTGGAGGAGTCCGCGGCTGCAAGCAGGACAAAACATCTCTCTGGAGGAAGGGAAAGCGCTTGCGGTCATGCCGAGGAGGAGGTCAGGGTAGCTACCGGGCATGGATGCTGCCAGGCACCCGAGGAAAAGCCTCCAGTCCACAACAAGGACAGAGGCTAGGACAGCCAGAATGTAGGAATAAACAATCCAGAAGGCTAACATCAGGTAAGTAAAAGCAAGGTAAGTGGAAGAAGGAGGAATGTAATGAAAGCCAAAGAAAAAGAGGAGAAAAGCGGAGACAAACATTTAGAACTGATGAAAATAATGCAAAGGCATGGTCTGGAAAGAAAAAGAACCAACCAAAAAGAAAAATCAGCAGTAGAAAGCAAAGCCAACCGAGCAGGAAACAAAAGCCAAAAGGAAAAGGAAAAGAGCCAAGTAAACCGGGGAGAAAAGGACAAACAAAGAGCAAAGGGGTGGACTGCAGATATATGGCAAAGCAAAAAATTCAAAGCAACACAGTGAGACAATATAAAAGCTAGCAAAACCTAAGGGTGGAACATGGAAAAAAAAAAACAAAACAAACAAAACAATCTAGAATGAAAGACAAGAAGCAAAATAAGGGTGGAACATGGAAAAAAAAAAAAAAACCAAACAAAACAAACTAGAATGAAAGACAAGAAGCAAAATAGAAAGTAGGACAAAGCAAAACAATGCCAGAAAACCAAGAGCCAAGGTACAGAATAAACAACAAAAAGGAAAGCAAACCAAAAAAACCAAACAAACATCAAATTAACAATGGAGAGCAAAGCCAAAGGAGCAGTAGAGAAAGCAAAACGAAGGGAACAAAGGAAAGCAAACCAATGGGACCCAGTGGAACAGAATGAACAAGAAAAAGGAAAGCAAACCAAAAAAACCAAACAAACATCAAATTAACAATGGAGAGCAAAGCCAAAGGAGCAGTAGAGAAAGCAAAACGAAGGGAACAAAGGAAAGCAAACCAATGGGACCCAGTGGAAAAAGAGACAATACACAGAAAGAAACAGAAACAACCAACAGAACAAAGAAATGGGATTCAATGAGACGGCAAAGCAAAGGTGACAAGAGCCTGCCGTGCAGCCAAAAGCTCACCATCCGTGCCTGGGAGGAGGAAAGGGTAGCTACTGGGCATGCTGCGACCTCCAGCAGAGATGCACTTCCTCAGCTGGCGCCCGTGGAGGAGTCCGCGGCTGCAAGCAGGACAAAACATCTCTCTGGAGGAAGGGAAAGCGCTTGCGGTCATGCCGAGGAGGAGGTCAGGGTAGCTACCGGGCATGGATGCTGCCAGGCACCCGAGGAAAAGCCTCCAGTCCACAACAAGGACAGAGGCTAGGACAGCCAAGATGTAGGAATAAACAATCCAGAAGGCTAACATCAGGTAAGTAAAAGCAAGGTAAGTGCAAGAAGGAGGAATGTAATGAAAGCCAAAGAAAAAGAGGAGAAAAGCGGAGACAACCTTTGAAAGCGATGAAAATAATGCAAAGGCATGGTGTGGAAAGAAAAAGAACCAACCAAAAAGAAAAATCAGCAGTAGAAAGCAAAGCCAACCGAGCAGGAAACAAAAGCCAAAAGGAAAAGGAAAAGAGCCAAGTAAACCGGGGAGAAAAGGACAAACAAAGAGCAAAGGGGTGGACTGCAGATATATGGCAAAGCAAAAAATTCAAAGCAACACAGTGAGACAATATAAAAGCTAGCAAAACCTAAGGGTGGAACATGGAAAAAAAAAAACAAAACAAACAAAACAATCTAGAATGAAAGACAAGAAGCAAAATAAGGGTGGAACATGGAAAAAAAAAAAAAAAACCAAACAAAACCAACTAGAATGAAAGACAAGAAGCAAAATAGAAAGTAGGACAAAGCAAAACAATGCCAGAAAACCAAGAGCCAAGGAACAGAATAAACAAGAAAAAGGAAAGCAAACCAAAAAAACCAAACAAACATCAAATTAACAATGGAGAGCAAAGCCAAAGGAGCAGTAGAGAAAGCAAAACCAAGTGAACAAAGGAAAGCAAACCAATGGGACCCAGTGGAACAGAATGAACAACAAAAAGGAAAGCAAACCAAAAAAACCAAACAAACATCAAATTAACAATGGAGAGCAAAGCCAAAGGAGCAGTAGAGAAAGCAAAACCAAGTGAACAAAGGAAAGCAAACCAATGGGACCCAGTGGAACAGAATGAACAACAAAAAGGAAAGCAAACCAAAAAAACCAAACAAACATCAAATTAACAATGGAGAGCAAAGCCAAAGGAGCAGTAGAGAAAGCAAAACCAAGTGAACAAAGGAAAGCAAACCAATGGGACCCAGTGGAACAGAATGAACAAGAAAAAGGAAAGCAAACCAAAAAAACCAAACAAACATCAAATTAACAATGGAGAGCAAAGCCAAAGGAGCAGTAGAGAAAGCAAAACGAAGGGAACAAAGGAAAGCAAACCAATGGGACCCAGTGGAAAAAGAGACAATACACAGAAAGAAACAGAAACAACCAACAGAACAAAGAAATGGGATTCAATGAGACGGCAAAGCAAAGGTGACAAGAGCCTGCCGTGCAGCCAAAAGCTCACCATCCGTGCCTGGGAGGAGGAAAGGGTAGCTACTGGGCATGCTGCGACCTCCAGCAGAGATGCACTTCCTCAGCTGGCGCCCGTGGAGGAGTCCGCGGCTGCAAGCAGGACAAAACATCTCTCTGGAGGAAGGGAAAGCGCTCGCGGTCATGCCGAGGAGGAGGTCAGGGTAGCTACCGGGCATGGATGCTGCCAGGCACCCGAGGAAAAGCCTCCAGTCCACAACAAGGACAGAGGCTAGGACAGCCAGAATGTAGGAATAAACAATCCAGAAGGCTAACATCAGGTAAGTAAAAGCAAGGTAAGTGGAAGAAGGAGGAATGTAATGAAAGCCAAAGAAAAAGAGGAGAAAAGCGGAGACAACCTTGGAAAGCGATGAAAATAATGCAAAGGCATGGTCTGGAAAGAAAAAGAACCAACCAAAAAGAAAAATCAGCAGTAGAAAGCAAAGCCAACCGAGCAGGAAACAAAAGCCAAAAGGAAAAGGAAAAGAGCCAAGTAAACCGGGGAGAAAAGGACAAACAAAGAGCAAAGGGGTGGACTGCAGATATATGGCAAAGCAAAAAATTCAAAGCAACACAGTGAGACAATATAAAAGCTAGCAAAACCTAAGGGTGGAACATGGAAAAAAAAAACCAAAACAAACAAAACAATCTAGAATGAAAGACAAGAAGCAAAATAGAAAGTAGGACAAAGCAAAACAATGCCAGAAAACCAAGAGCCAAGGAACAGAATGAACAACAAAAAGGAAAGCAAACCAAAAAAACCAAACAAACATCAAATTAACAATGGAGAGCAAAGCCAAAGGAGCAGTAGAGAAAGCAAAACCAAGTGAACAAAGGAAAGCAAACCAATGGGACCCAGTGGAACAGAATGAACAACAAAAAGGAAAGCAAACCAAAAAAACCAAACAAACATCAAATTAACAATGGAGAGCAAAGCCAAAGGAGCAGTAGAGAAAGCAAAACCAAGTGAACAAAGGAAAGCAAACCAATGGGACCCAGTGGAACAGAATGAACAAGAAAAAGGAAAGCAAACCAAAAAAACCAAACAAACATCAAATTAACAATGGAGAGCAAAGCCAAAGGAGCAGTAGAGAAAGCAAAACCAAGTGAACAAAGGAAAGCAAACCAATGGGACCCAGTGGAACAGAATGAACAAGAAAAAGGAAAGCAAACCAAAAAAACCAAACAAACATCAAATTAACAATGGAGAGCAAAGCCAAAGGAGCAGTAGAGAAAGCAAAACCAAGTGAACAAAGGAAAGCAAACCAATGGGACCCAGTGGAACAGAATGAACAACAAAAAGGAAAGCAAACCAAAAAAAACCAAACAAACATGAAATTAACAATGGAGAGCAAAGCCAAAGGAGCAGTAGAGAAAGCAAAACGAAGGGAACAAAGGAAAGCAAACCAATGGGACCCAGTGGAACAGAATGAACAACAAAAAGGAAAGCAAACCAAAAAAACCAAACAAACATCAAATTAACAATGGAGAGCAAAGCCGATGGAGCAGTAGAGAAAGCAAAACGAAGGGAAAAAAGGAAAGCAAACCAATGGGACCCAGTGGAACAGAATGAACAACAAAAAGGAAAGCAAACCAAAAAAACCAAACAAACATCAAATTAACAATGGAGAGCAAAGCCAAAGGAGCAGTAGAGAAAGCAAAACCAAGTGAACAAAGGAAAGCAAACCAATGGGACCCAGTGGAACAGAATGAACAACAAAAAGGAAAGCAAACCAAAAAAACCAAACAAACATCAAATTAACAATGGAGAGCAAAGCCAAAGGAGCAGTAGAGAAAGCAAAACCAAGTGAACAAAGGAAAGCAAACCAATGGGACCCAGTGGAACAGAATGAACAACAAAAAGGAAAGCAAACCAAAAAAACCAAACAAACATCAAATTAACAATGGAGAGCAAAGCCAAAGGAGCAGTAGAGAAAGCAAAACGAAGGGAACAAAGGAAAGCAAACCAATGGGACCCAGTGGAAAAAGAGACAATACACAGAAAGAAACAGAAACAACCAACAGAACAAAGAAATGGGATTCAATGAGACGGCAAAGCAAAGGTGACAAGAGCCTGCGGTGCAGCCAAAAGCTCACCATCCGTGCCTGGGAGGAGGAAAGGGTAGCTACTGGGCATGCTGCGACCTCCAGCAGAGATGCACTTCCTCAGCTGGCGCCCGTGGAGGAGTCCGCGGCTGCAAGCAGGACAAAACATCTCTCTGGAGGAAGGGAAAGCGCTTGCGGTCATGCCGAGGAGGAGGTCAGGGTAGCTACCGGGCATGGATGCTGCCAGGCACACGAGGAAAAGCCTCCAGTCCACAACAAGGACAGAGGCTAGGACAGCCAGAATGTAGGAATAAACAATCCAGAAGGCTAACATCAGGTAAGTAAAAGCAAGGTAAGTGCAAGAAGGAGGAATGTAATGAAAGCCAAAGAAAAAGAGGAGAAAAGCGGAGACAACCTTTGAAAGCGATGAAAATAATGCAAAGGCATGGTCTGGAAAGAAAAAGAACCAACCAAAAAGAAAAATCAGCAGTAGAAAGCAAAGCCAACCGAGCAGGAAACAAAAGCCAAAAGGAAAAGGAAAAGAGCCAAGTAAACCGGGGAGAAAAGGACAAACAAAGAGCAAAGGGGTGGACTGCAGATATATGGCAAAGCAAAAAATTCAAAGCAACACAGTGAGACAATATAAAAGCTAGCAAAACCTAAGGGTGGAACATGGAAAAAAAAAAACAAAACCAAACAAAACCAACTAGAATGAAAGACAAGAAGCAAAATAGAAAGTAGGACAAAGCAAAACAATGCCAGAAAACCAAGAGCCAAGGAACAGAATAAACAAGAAAAAGGAAAGCAAACCAAAAAAACCAAACAAA